GGAAGAAAAGAGCTGTTGGAATTTAATGGACTAATGAGCTGGGCATTGATTTGTACTTGGGCTGAAATGGACAGCTCATGGGCTGGCTTGAAGTCATCTTTGAGTCCAATAGCTTTCGGCCATGATGGAGGAGACGTTCCGGGTTAAGTCTTGGCCGAAAAGGGAGGTGTTCGCGTCATGATCCCGGACTCCGTGAAGAACTTGAGTGACGACCTTTGTTAACGTGATGCGGAGGGCTTGAGCTCTAACACGAGTGAGAGGAGGCTCGGCTCTATGGCTTGCTCGGGGAGCCTTCGCATTGTGCACGTCAAATCCCGTTCCCGCGGCTTCGAATGATCTTGCGATGTTATGATCATCCGGCAAGAGTCTTGACGCCTGATGGGTCAAGTCTTGAACATCTTCTAGAGCTCCTTCTGTTAAGCTCCCGTCCTCGTCCAAGTTGCTAGCTCTGATGTCCTCATCATCTGGTGTGACCGGGGTTCCTTAGCTTGCGCAATCGTACCATTGTTGTCACAGTACAACTCTGTGGGATCTGCAATGCTAGGAATGACACCCAGGTCTCCCACGAATTTCTTGATCCAAACAGCTTCTTTAGTTGCATCCGATACTACTATATACTCGACTTCTGTAGTCGAATCTGCAACGGTTGGCTGTTTGGAACTCTTCCAACTGATAGCCCCACCGTTCAGGCAGAAAATAACCTGACTGCGATCTGAAGTCATCTCTGTCGGTTTGGAAACTAGCATCGGTATAACCCCTTATAGCGAGTTGGTCTTCCAATCCGCCATACACCAAGAACAAATTTTTAGTCCTTCTCAAGTATTTAAGGATGTTCTTGACCGCAATCCAGTGAGCCTCACCTGGTGTAGACTGATATCTACTAGTCATGCTTAATGCATACGATACATCCGGACGAGTACACAACATGACGTACATGATGGACCCAACTGCCGAGGCATATGGAATCCTACTCATGCGCTCTTGCTCATCCTGTATCTTTGGACACTGAGTCTTGCTAAGAGCCACGTCATGTCCCATTGGCAAGGCACCCCTCTTGGAGTCTTGCATCTTGAACTGATTCAAGACCTTGTCAATGTATGTACTCTGACTTAGGCCAAGAAGCCTTCTCGATCTATCTCTATAGATCTTGATGCCTAGAATATAGGCGGCTTCTCCTAAGTCTTTCATCGAAAAGACTGATCCTAGCCAGGATTTTAGTCCTTGCAAAATAGGAACATCATTTCCGATGAGCAATATATCATCTACATAAAGCACAAGGAAAACCACTTCGCTCCCACTGACCTTCTTGTAAATGATCACACGGTTTTTCCACCGGTTTTCTAACGTCGTGCATTACAATTCTTCATACATTTTAGGTATTATAGGATGTTAGTCGGCCATGGGTAGGCTCTTTTGCTTGTTTTTCCCTTGCAGGACGATTCCACGAGAATTTTCACGGGCGTGGCACGAAAGAGCACAGTTTCGGGAAGACCCGAGGAGCTCAGAGAATTCAGGCGGGTCGCCCTTTTATGGGCGACCGCCTGAAAATGGATAAAAACGCAGAATTGGAAGTGTCATAGAAGAATGAGCGACCGCCTGAAATTATGAGCGACCGCCCGTTTTCTGAGCGACCGCCTGAAATTATGAGCGACCGCCTGAAAAGGAGAAAATGAGTGACCCTGAAGAGAAAATGAGCGACCCTGAACAAAAAAATGAGCGACCGCCTGATATCAAATGCGGCCCAAAAAGGAAAAGCCCGAACTTTGAGGTGAAAACCTAATTTTGCACTTTCATTAAAAGAGGAGTTTGAGGAGAGAGAAGGGGGGCTGCACACTTGGAGAGAAAAATCAACTTGGAGAAGAGGAAAGGGAGATTTTGGAGATCTAGGAGGCTTGAAGAAGAGGAAGGCCACCATTGAAGACCATCTTGAGCTTTTCTTCTCCTTCTCTATGTTTCTTCATTTTGCTTTCTGTTTTGAAACCCTAGATATGGAGTAGTGACTTTGTTGTGGGTGAGGGATCCCCACTTTTGTATGGATACCTATGCTTAACCTATGATGTTTATGAGTTTTCTTCCATCGGTTTGATGTTTTGTGCTTAATGCTATCAACTTTGGCGAAATCTTAGTTGGTGTGATGTTAGAACACATTGATCATAGGGATATGGGGATGATGTTTGGAACCAAACATCAAATGAGTGAGTTATTCGCATTGGGAGATGGCTTAACTTGCTTAGGGTTCATGATAGGGTACATTATTATTCACATTGGGAGATGGCTTAGCTTGCTTAGGGTTCATGATGGGGTACGTTAATGCATCTAGAGATCATTTAGATCATTGGAAAATGGGTGAATCGATTCTCTAGGTAGTGAGTTTAAGCTCGGGAGAGACAAACTCTAGATTAAGTGCTTGAAATCCCCATTTGGAAGATAAACCCGTAGATATTGTAGTATCATCAACCGTCCATGCAAGTCTTGAGGGATCCCGAACCCACAACGCCTAGAATCATTGTTTGCAACCCCGTTAATTTTATTTGCGAAATTTCATTCCGATACCCATCACAAATCACATTTTTATTTGACCATCAATCTAGCTTAGGGATAGACTAATACAATCTAGTCCTCGTGTTCGACCCCGTTACTACAACTACCGTATACTTGCGGATAGTGGTACGAATCGGGTCATATATATAACTCGGTGCGTGTGCATCAGTAAACGCATGGCTCATCTTCGTTTTGTAGGAAGCCAAATGTTTTGACTGCCTCATCAAACCGAAGATTCCAGCTCCTCGAAGCCTGCTTCAGTCCATAAATGGATCTCTGAAGCTTGCACACCTTCCTCAGACTCTTAGGATCGGCAAAACCCTTGGGTTGTGTCATGTACACATCCTCGAGCAGATTCCCGTTAAGGAATGCAGTCTTGTAGTCATAATACGCAGCTATGGCCAGCAGAATCCGTATGGATTTAAACATCACGACTAGTGAAAAGGTTTCATCATAGTCTATACCATGAATCTGCCGAAACCCTTTCGCGACGAGTTATAGGTATGCACGATGCCATCCATGTCGGTTTTCTTCTTGAAAATCCACTTGCATCCAATGGTCTTAATACCATCGAACGAACCGACAAAGTCCACACTTTGTTGTCGTACATGGATTGCATCTCAGACTCCATGGCCTGGTGCCATTTCTCGGAATCGGAACTCGCCACAGCCTCTGAATACGACATAGGCTCGTCATGTTCTAACAACATGAGTTCGTCTTTTCCAGTCACAAGAAAACCGTATCTTGTAGGCTCTTGGGGAATTCTACCAAATCTCCGAGGTCCACTAGGAGGTGCTGTCTCAACAACTTGTGATACAAGTTGAACTGTTTCGACCTGTTCACCTGGTTCTTCGACTATTTGTGGTTCTCGAACTTCTTCGAGATCTATTCTACTCTCACTCACTCTTTCGGAGACGAACTCTCTCTCCAAGAAAGATCCATTCCGAACAACAAACACTTTGTTCTCAGATGGGTTGTAGAACCAGTACCCTTTTGATTCCTTAGGGTAACCCACAAA